CAGCCTCCAACCCTCTCTGGCCATGGTTTTCTCGCCTGGGGTGTTTTATAGGTGACCCCCTGACTGCCTTCTGCTTTCTCCAGCCTGACCTGGCTCCCCTATTCAACCAGGCAACTTTCACCATTAGCTCTGTCAGGCGCATCCCCTCCCTGAAGCTCTTGGCCTAGCTCTGCTCTTCCTCTGAGTTCTCTTTACTCTCAGAGCTCTCTCCCTGTCTAAACACTGGGTTCTGAACTCCCTAAGCTCTCGCTCAGGATCCTGGACTCTGGGTTCTGAACTCCCTTTGCCAGCTTCTTAACTCTCATTTATAACTCCCAGAAGCACCTCCGCCCCCCTCATTACACCAAACTAGGGTGCACGTGAAACAGGAGCATTAAACCCAATTTCATTTATGGGCCAGCTACATTGTTACAGTCACTAAAGTGAAAACTTCCCATTTTTAATAGTGTGAATAAAAACGAGCTTCATAGCCTTTCTTGTTAGCAATCTGTGCATTCCTCAGTCATTTCAAAATGGCAGAGGCATGCTATAGTGTGACAGTTAAGCTGAAGAAGCACTTGATTGCCCTGAACTGTTTTTATAGCTGGCATATCATTGATTGTTGAGGCCCTTGTTCATTAATGGCAATGGCAGGGTACTCTGATTATTATTTATTCAGTCACAATGGTGTGACCTAGAATAAGTTTGTATTTAATCCTGTAAAAAATTTAGAATTATTATGTTTAGATATTTTAATCTTTGTAAAGTAAGGAGTCCGCTCATAATCTAATTGTTTTTATTTATTATTGTGTTTGTCATTTTACAGAAGAGTTCAGAGTAGGGGCCTGCCTGTGTTGTTTTGTTCTCAATCCACATTAAAAGATTTCATACCCCCAAAAAATCTTTCTTCTCAATTATGAAAATACTTTCCTGATCTCATTAAGCCCAGATAAAAAGATTAAGTGGTGTTTTTGCTTTTTATTTGTGACAATACAAATTAGACACACCTATGACAAACTAATTACTATGTTTATATTTTTTGTACAGAACAAGCTTGTTAACTGTGAACATGAAGAGATGAAGTAAGCAAAAACAAAGAGAAGAGAGGAAGGCCTTGCTGCTATTATTGTCTATGATATTATACACACACACGCTACGTGCTAATGTATTCTGTCTTGCTCTCTTCTCCTCCTCCCTTCCCCCCCACTTGAGGATCAATGGAGGAATAGGGAGGAAGATACACAGATTAGACAGACATGTTTGTCTACTAATAAGGTAGATTTCAGGTTAAATAAAATCTGTAAAAACAAAAGTAATTTTTAGGAGATTAGACAAATCTATAATAGTTGTCACCTGAAAACACTAGAAACAGAGCTTATTTTTAACAGTGTTTATTTTAATTTATGATATTGAAATAGGACCAGTATAGTATCAAGAGACAGACTGTGAAAACCCTTACTCATGTTGAATACTACCTTACCCCTCCTATAGTCCCAGTGAAGTTATTCATGTGAGTAACTATTCAATGAGGTGAGTCAGAGATTCACAATCTTAATTTTTATACTTACTGGGTGGTGACTTGAGCATTCAAACACTCGTGCAAACTGCAGTGTCTTCCAATGCTGTACACTTTATGGCTATAATCAATGTCATCCCCTAGGTTTAACCGTGGAAGTGTGTATTTGAAATTACTTACAATTTTAATCATTGTGATTGTTACTCAGTATTGCATCACATTTCACACAGGGAAATGAGAACAGTGTAAATCACTTGGAATAATTGTAACCAGATAGAAACAACTGTTTTTTTGTCAAAATGGTTGAAGTGTATTGGCATTTGGGGGGCTAGGATTAGACACAAAGAGAACTATTTGTTGTTCCCTCCACTTCCTGTCTCTACCACCACATTTTCTCCCCTTTGCATGCCAAGGTGTAAATCTGGGTTCCAACCCTGCAACTTGGGAGTCAGTCAGCCTCTTGGCAAGCACAGGGATCCACCTACTTGCTCAACTTGCAGGACTGGGACCTTGGAGTACATATATATAGCGGGTCAGAAATGTGTACACTGCTTGTATCCTCCACTCCTTTTCCACACAGTGCAGTCCAGTACAATCTGCACCATTGATTCAGCAAAAATATTCTGATCTAGCTAACCTGCCTTTTTTTATTCATAGCTTAGCCATACAATATAAACAGAAATGGAACTTTCTATCTGCCTTACATTGAGCTATAGGAAAAGGGCTTCAGAATCATTTCTTTGGATCAAGAGACAGAAAGAGGCACCAGATCTGAAAGGTGCCTAAAAATCAGGTGCACTTGAAAGGAGAGGGTCTAGTAGAGCAATGGATGAAAAAATTCATTCCGCTCAAAAAGAGTGGGCTAAAGGGCAGAGAGAGAGCAAGACAAAAAAAGCTATAGAGAAAAGTGGAGCGAGAACAAAGAGAAAATGAAATTCTTCTTTTTACTTAAATTTATGGTGGAGATTGTATTTAGCAACCAACCCAACTAATTGTTGTAGCCATTTGGAGTTGTAGCCAAAGCAACCTCACAAATAGCTCTCCCCTTCCCAAATTATGGACTCCCCTCATTTGGAAGGGGCAGGATGCAGGCATCTCCCTGCAATTTTTCATTTCATTTTTGGTTATCATAGATATTCCCTTTGGTGTATAGCCAAATCCTCAAGACCTCAAGGATCAAAACTTCCATTGACTGTGGTTTTTAATGTCAATGTTTTTAATGGGATTGGGCCAGTTAATCACTCAGTATGAACAAAACAGTATATTGCCATAACTAATTGACTCTGAAATGTTGTTATCATTCAGCGTTTATTGTCCAAACGCTAGTATTTTTTGTAAATCTATAATGCATATAAAATGTAATTCTATATGACGTTCACTCATAGCAATGCTATTTCCAAGCTCCAAAGAGTTTTGATAGAAAATTTTTAATGAGCCCAAATACCCACCCTTTGCACATGGTGAGCTATATTCAACACTGACATAAAACCTGTGCGGTTATGTACGCTTAAAGAAAGTCTGTGCAACGAGTCAGTTATGATATTACATTTATGTGAACAATTCGGTGGACAAAGTCAGAAACACAAGTGGTGCAGTAGTAAGTACAGTATGATCAGTTCTCTCAAAGCGCCTCATCCATCACATTAAGCTACTGGAGAGTCTTCCATTGTCTTTAGTAGGCTTTGGATGAGGTCTGAAATCCAAAATAACTCACACTGTTTGTGTTTGTTGGGTTACATCCACACTAAAACCTTAAAAATCAGGAAAGTGGTTGAAATACTATTCTAATTTTAGCATTCAAAGATTAAATTTGTCCGTTGCCATGTTGTATCACAGAGATGCCACTGATGTCAGAAGATCTAGGAAATTCGTTGCTGGAACCATTTCTCCTCCTATATGGAGATACTTCACTAATCTTGTTTTCTTCTTGTAGTTGATTCTTTTAGAGATATATATTTTTTGGGCAAGATATTAGGAATGTGGGACAGTGCCGTGACAACTCTGGAGGACCAGAGCTTGCTGAGGTGGGAACCACTGTGTGGAAGTGGGGCATGTGTAGGGGGCTGGGGAAGTGCCTTGTCTCATAGAAGCAGAAGGACTAGAGATGCCTCAGGTATCAGAAATTACACCAAATCTGAAATTCCCTAAACTTTCCAAACATCAGCACTTATCCACACACCTACAGTGTCCATCTCTAGTCAAAATGGAGAGATCTGAATTGAATATTAGTAGCTCTATACAGCTTCACAGTAGAATTAAGGTAAATCATGGATGCCATCCAACATGCAAAAGGAAAACATTGGACCTTTATTTCCCTAGTAGAAATTCCAGTTGACTTCATTAGAATCCATGAAATTTTCTCTACAGGATCAATAGTCCCAGGAACCAATAGCCCAATAGAGCCATTGCTCTGTTCCAAATTTTCTGTTTTATAATTTCATATATAAATTCACACTAACATTGGGAAGCACCAGGGCAGATTAATGAGTTTTATGAGGAAGTTGAAGCCTGACTGTCTAGGTAGGTACAGAGCGTCCCATCTCTACAGTAGCTGAGTGCCTCCCAAACATTAGTGGATTTAGCCTCAAATATCCCTCCTTTTCCATTTCACAAATGAGGAACAGAGACATGACGTAGGTTGCCCCAGGAAATCAGTGTTGGAGCCCAAAACTGAAACCAGATCCCCTGATTCCCAGTCCTGTTGCACAAAGTCATCCTTTGCCAGTGGTGAGGGGGGAGCACAAGCAGCACCAACCAACTGTAGAAGCCTTTAACATGTTTCATTGCTGAGTGCCAGTGATGGAGCCTGCAGATGATGTAATCCTCTCCTATTGGCCCACAGAGAGTGTGATGTTGCCTGCTGTGATCCTGGCCCAGCAACCCTGCAAGATCTCACTGACTTGTCTTTCAGTAAACTGCAAACATAAAAATTGGTTCTTATTGTGGTTTGCTGAAGATCTGATTAGCAAGGTTATACTCCGTGTGTGTATGCATTTATGTATGTATATGTGGATACAAATATATATTTAAATAGGTGTATGCATAAATATACATTAATGCACACAGAGGCTTAAATATGCACGTATTTTATCTTTAAAAACTACAGATGCACACAAATAAAAAGATTTTGATTTTTTTTAAATGGACTTTCTACGTGAAATGTGAAATCAGTAATGCTCACGTGGTCACAGGCTGCTAAATAATTAATCAATAGCAGCAGTGTGGCAGTTTGAAATGTAAATGTGATGGATGAAGGTGTGATGCTTGTCATCAAGTAGAAAATGATGTGACTGGAATGGATAACCTCCAGTACCTGCTGACTGGGAAAAGCTTGGACACAAAGATAAAGTAAAGCCATCAGACAGTAGCTCCGGCAACCCCTAATTCTTGCCTTTGACCCACAGTTCACTTTCATGTCCCTGTCCCAGAAGAGATGTTTAAAAAAATGATGAAGAGAGGTCTTGGGGTGAGGAAGGGGAGAGAAAACCATCTAAAGAAATGTTACCTGACAAGGCTTCAGGCTACATATTTGAGAACCCTTCTTTTTTCTTTATGTTCTCCTTCTTCCATTCAAAAAAAAAAATGGAAGCTTCTTTTTTCTTTCCTTTTTTCCCAAATTCTCTAGAGCCGTTCCTGCAAGTGGTTCTGTGACTCGGAAACTGACAACAGCTGCATGCAAAGGAACAAAGAATGAGACTGACAATTTGGACTGTGAGCAGGTGAGAGAGACACCTCTTACTTATCAAACTAGGCTGTAAAAAATTGCTCTTTTTACTCAGTGTACTAGAAATAGACCTGATTTAACTAGGCATTGATCCAAATTATTTATTTGTGCCAAGATGTGATGCTAATTGAATTTTTAGGTCAACTAGTTGTCTGTAGCTTCTCCATTCAACTACTGTAAGGGAAGTATAGCTCTAAATTGGAAAGAGGGAAATCCTCTTTCAGAATCATTATTGTACATTATTCTACAGGAGAATTTATGCCACTATGGTAAAGGGTCTACAAGAATGTCCACCAAAGAGTATGTTTTCTGGGAGTTTATAACTTTGTCTGTCTGTCCAGAAACGTGATGTACTAGGGCTCAGCCAGGGAGAAATGTATTTTTGTAAATTAATAATAAATTATTTTTATCTATTTCTCCATTTTAGAAATGCAAGACTGCACATAGTGTTTACCAGTTTGGTTGCTTTTTTTTTCCCCTATAAGTCAAAATTACATTTTATTGTAAAGTACATTTTGAGTGGTCACAATCTGAACGAGGCTCTTTTACTTTTAAAAAAAAATCAAACGTCCACTCTTTTAAGCAAATGAATAAATGTGATGACTTCACATTATATGGATGTTTTAGACTGTTCTGAAGTCTACATTGGTAAATATCCATTTTAGGTGGAAGCTAAAAGTATTTATATAATAGGCCACTGAGGTACAAAAATAGCTTTTATAGTTTTTTAGGCACAAAGAGTATATAAATATATGCAATTAAGAGTTCTTTAAAAATCTGTAAATACTGTACATATTTTACCATTGTAATGGCTTCAGTAGCCAACATTCATGAGTTAATTCTCATATACTTCCGTGAAAGATTATCTTTTCTTTTTTTCCTTTTCTGTGATTTTAAAATTATCTTTATATTATCATTATACAAAAGAAATAAGGAAATGAGGAAATACAGAAGTTATTTATACAGAAGTAAAAGAGCCTAGTTTAAATTTAAAAAGCCAAGATTTCAGAGGCTACACTAAAACAGAAAGTCTATTTTACTCTTTTCCATAATAAATATTTCATTTTTACATTGGGCCAGATCCTCAGCTGGTGTAGCTCTCTTGAAGTCAGTGACCTTCAATGTATTGCCAGCTAGCTAGCTGTGCTATTTACAGAACACCAAACACTTCAGTATCTAAGCACTGATTTTTCTGCTCATAGGTCCTTTCCATATATAGGAGTAATACTGTTGGTTGATATGGAGTTAAGCTTTGATCTTAATTTTCTGGCATTTTAATACAGTCCTTTAGTTTTATAGATCCAGGGCCTGATTCTTGTTTACGCTAAGGCATCTTTACACAACTTTTGCATTTACGTTTATACCCTTTAAGGTCCTTTTATATTGCCAGAGTGATGTAAAGGTGTCTTCATGTAAATGAGAATCAGGCCTCTGGAACTTTGTGATGGTTTTGATTTGACAAGCACAAGGATATGGTTACCATACAAATTGTGTATTTTCTGAAGGATATGCTCTTACATTTGACAGCCTCTTAAAGATAGCTGGCGTAACGGTCTAATATCGGGTGTTGCTGGTCTGTCTCTCCACACCATATTAGCAACATTTGTTGCTTTCAGGACTCCCTTCTGTTTCGGCAGTTGTATTGCAATTAATACAATTATATTAATGTCGCTTGATGCAACAGTTTATTTTATGTGTAGTTTTCAAAACTGTTTTTTCTTTAGTAAAAAATTAAAACACATACATCCATAGTTCTCAACAAGGAGATTTCCCATCTACAGGGCCACTGTCTGTCCTCAGATGCACACATAGAGTTCCAGTTGGTTCCAGTGGGGACTCTGTGCTTATCTGAGGACTGAATTTCACCATTAGTTTCTAATCTGATGGAAAGGCACTATCTCAGGAGAGTGCTATCACTGAGTTTATTTATATCTATACATGTGCTTCTAGTGAGCCACTCACCATGATATCTAAGGCGGTAATGCTGGGTTCAGAAATAAAATACTCCACCAATCTAGGAGCTCAGCTCCATAGTTTTGCATCTGCATATTAGTAGTAGTAGTAATAGTAATAATAATAATTTGTATTGTAGTAGCACCTAAAGGCCCCAACAGTCAGGGCCCAATTTTGCTTGGCCCTGTACAAACACATCACAGAAAGGCAGTTCCTGTCCTAAAGAGCTTATTATCTAAGTTATGTAATGTAATAAGTGTAATGTATATGTACGTGTTGTTTTTCCTATGGGTCTCCTTGTAAGATACCAGGTGCATCATTTGCCCACTTTGCTCATACTGATGGGAGTGAAACGTGATGCTATGGATCTCCCAAACCAGAGAGTTTTGTTTCTCCTCAAGGATTATACCAAATCAACCATATTTCATCATGAGGAATAACTGCTTTAACCCACAGTTGATTTCATATGGCATATTTCACTAGTATGCCTTCTGAAAATCCTTGCAAAATACACTATAGACCTAAAGCATGATCTCCTTTTCCGAAATGAATGGCTTTGATTACTGGTGTATTCATTTTGTAAAAGGTACAAAAGGATACAAATGTGCCTTTCTATTTCATGTAATGCCAAAGGAAGACCTTATTGCCCTTTTATTTCAATTCCCCCAATCTGAAAAATAAAAACATGAGTTGATTATATGTTTTTTACCATTAAATGCATTATTGCTTTTGTGTTTTGACATTTAATTCCTCTTACCAAAATACATGGTAGGAATTAAAAAGTTGAAACCTTTTATGGGTCTGATGTACAATTCCCTTCTGTGTATTTCAATAAGAGAAACAAAACAATAAAACCTTAAAGCAGGTAACAGTGAAACCCTCTGAAAATGAAGTCTTTTTCACACTGAACAACCTAACTATGGTCCCAGTCTTACCATCCTTATTCAGGCCAAAGTCTCTTTGAAATGAGTGGAAGTTTGGAATGAGTCAAAGCTGAATAGGATCTGCAGCTTTGAGCCTATAGCTGTAACTGTGCACTGAGGAGCAGATTTAAGGGTTACTGGCCAGTCTGCAAATGAATTTTGGAGGCCAAATGACAGGGTCTGCCCTGGAGCTTAAGAGGATTTGACCGGAGGCTGAGAGGAGTGGCTGTGGGGAGCAAGCCATCAGGTACAGCTCTGCCAGTGCTGAAGCAGGCAGGCAGGTGTGCAATGTTTGGGTGGCGTTGCTGTGCCAGCTTCAGGGGAGCAAGCAGCCTGTCCCCTCCCTTTTCTTCTGCCCCAGCCTTTTCTCTTCTTGTGCTGTATTCTCTCCCTCCTTTCTCCTGTTCTTTTAGTTTCTCCTTCCCTCCCTCCCTCTTGTGCTCTCTTCCTCCTCTGTCTCTTACTCCTTTCCTTTCAGCTCCTCACTCCTTCCACTGGCTCCTTACCTTGTCCTCCCCTTCAGTGCTACCCAAACTCCTCTGCCTCTCTCCACTCCACCTTCCATTCTCACTCACTGTGTATTCTGTACCCCTGACGTCCCTTCCATACACACCCTCCATCACTATCACCCCTCCCTCAGATGTGCACGCACCTCCTTCCATACACCCCACAAAGAGACATTCTGCCATGCTTTCACTCCCACACACACTGCTGCCCACTCAACCCAACACACTTTGAATTTTCCCCCCTCTCCTCAAGCCAGGATATGAAGGAGGGCACAATTTTCTCTCCTCCACGCCAGAAGAGGGGTCTGAGACTGATGTAAGGGATAATATCTGAGCTAGCCAGAGTGGAGGGAGCAGGGAAGAGAGACTCACTCAATGCAGGGAGAGCAGCTGATCAAGTAGCCAGCTGGGAGGCTGGCAGTGAGGGTGAAGGGGCACAGAGTTAGCCGGAGCCAACAGTGTCGGACAGCAAGAAGAGAAAGACTTGGAACCCAAAGTGATCAGGGAAGAGCTATTCTGGCCATCTTTGATCTAAGAGTTATAGCTTCCCAAGATCACAGCAACTCAGATTGCATTAGAGATCGGGGTCTGGTTGGTTAGCTACTACTCATGCTGCTCCTGAGATCCTCCGCTGTTTGAGCTTCTCAGCGCAATAAAACAATTTGGGATTTCCATGCCTTAACAAACAGATTGCATTGTGAGTTCACCCATGGATGTAAAGGTGTAGTTTCCAACTATCAGTTCCACTTGTGTGCTCACAATTCCGCCTGCAGCACCAGTACTTTCTGTGGATGTGGGGAGAGCTCACACGAAATTATGGGTAAATAAGCAGAAGCTGAGTTCTAGCACTGAAAATCAAATCCCTAGTAAATAATCCTGATTACAGACATCAGGAGGAATAGGACCTAGGCCCTTCAGCAGGGAAACACAGGCATATGCCACTTGAGTTGAGGACTTTAAGCTGATGGTAGTAGTAGGCTTTCATCCCTTCTGTAGTCCATCCTCTAGACAAGTCTTGTGATTAAAGCATGAGACTGAGAATCTAAAGATCTGGAGTCTGTTTCTGCCATTAGCTTTTCCACAGACCAGCGATGTAATCTTGGACAAGTCTTTTGGTCTCTCTGTGCCTTAGTTTCCCCATCCAGGGATAATAACTACCTCAGTGAGCTGTTGCAAAACTAAATATATTCATATTGGTAAGGTGCTTTGATATTCTCAGAGAAGAAGGTGCTATAGAAGTGCAAATAACTATTATCAATGAAGTCAGTGTGACCAAAGTCTTCATTGAGTTGTTTTGGATATTGTATTTCTTCTACACTCCTTTCTTACTAATAAGGAGATTAATTAATGCAGAACACATAGGTATCTCTGTCTCCACAGATTACACAATGGATTTTGAGTCATTCCTCCTCATTTCTTTTTCTGGAGACAACAGTGTCTAACAACTGCTGAATTTACTGCTGCTTATCTTGAAAGGGAGCTATTACTCAAAATGTGGAACTTGGGAGCAGGGATTTCAGTTCAAATGGAAATTTTATGGAACAGATTTCACCCTATCGTCCA